TTCATGAATTACACTAGCTAGGACATACAAAAATATATACATGCCTCAGTTTTCAAATGTCTCATTATCAATATTTAATGTTGCATTTTCAGTTCGCATGTCAGAATATGAAGCTATTCAGTATATTTCACTTATGTTGTATTGTACACATTTCCAGTTAGTAGTAGGCTTAACACCGAGTTAGTTTAGGGTCAATCACCCTCATAGTTCTAGAACTATGTGCCCTGTAGGTTTATAAGTCCCCTCTATAGGCATCATATTTAATGATCACGCTAGTCATTCCTTTATACCCATGGGAAGGTATATTGGGTCCTCTCGATGGGGCGTATACAACGTACTCCACATTTAGCTGATGTGGTTTTATGTCTGTTATTAGTAGCTCCCACAGTCAGATTCTAGTGCATTGACCAGGTTCCAATTATATTTCAATATTCAGCTTCAACATGTTATGTACTTGATGATTGCATTCAGTTTAGTTCATATTTAGTATCTTTTCGGTATATTCATCATATTCAGATTTTATCATTGCTCAGTAAGTTTTGTTCAATTATATGCTTGTTCACCTTTATTCTATCCTACATGCTCAGTACATTCCAAGTATTGATGCGTACTCTGCGCTACATCATTTCATGATGTTGGTTTAGGTAGTCAACATCCAAATCATGCATAGATCGGTTCCCGATCCATTTCAGCAGCTTCATTGGTGATTCCTCATTCTTCGAGGACGATAAACATGTTCTTTTATGTTCAGACTTTTGTTTTAGTTCCAGTTTTACTAGAGTTAGCTGGGGGCATGTCGCATCATCTCTAGTTAGTTAGAGGCTTATTTCAGACATAACAGATTCAACTTTATTCTTTGAGTTATAGTTCAATATCTTAAACTCTTGCTCAATATTTATATATTCAGACTTAGTTTGGGTTTTCCACATCATTTAATTTATCTAATGTTTTTAGCTTCCACACATAAATTGTTTAAGAATGCTTATGATGTGCCAGCTTAGAGGGTAGCCTCGGGGCGTGACAAACTTGGTATCAGAGGATTAAGGTTAAGAGTCCTAGGATGTCTAAAAATCCACACTAAGTAGAGTCCCTTTCATGAGTGTGAAGCATTCCACACCTATGCGGGGAATGCTACAAAGTGTTCTAGGAAAAACTTCACTTTCTTGTTATTCTTATCATGTGTGGGTATGATCTCCTTTGTAACTCAATGTTATGTATTTTAGATCATGCCTCCTTGTAGAGCTTATGCAAGGAATGTTAATGCCCGCAATGTTAACACAGTTCCTCCAGTCCCAGACCATAAGGTTTCGAATGCAGAGTTTCAAAATACTATTCAACTTTTGGCTCAGAGTGTAGCCAACTAGAACATTCGGTAGGTTCCAGTTCATACAAATACTAGTTGAGGATCAGTGGCAGCTACTGTCCGTGATTTTGTAAGGATGAATCCGCCTGAGTTTCTATGGTAAAGTTGGTGAAGAACCCCAGAACATCATTGATGAGGTCAAGAAAATCTTTGGAGTGATGCAAGTGATTGGAAATGATAGGGTAGAGTTTGTATCCTCCCAGTTTAAGGATGTGGCTCACATATGGTTCATGCAGTGAAAGGAAACCATGGGTGAGAATGCAGCTCCTATGACTTGGGAGTGTTTTACCGGAGCTTTTCTGGACAAGCTCTTCCCAAGAGAGTTGACGGAAGCTAAGGCTCAGGAATTTATGAATTTGAGACAAGGTTCGATGTCAGTACAAGAGTACGGGCTAAAGTTCACCAAACTCTCCAGGTATGCTCCACATATGGTTGCCCATCCCAAGGCACAAATAAGTAAGTTCCTATTGGGGTATCTGACTTGGTGAAGACAGAGTGCATAAATGCTATGTTGTTGGAGGATATGAACATCCCAGGGCTCATGACTCATGCTCAGGAGGTTGAGGGAGATAAGCTTAGAGAACTAGCTAAGGACAACAAAAAGGCTAGAATAGGAAACTATGAGTAGTCTCAGCAGAAATCGGGTGGTGGAAATCACTCATAATTTCAAAAGAAATCTTTAGCCTCAACACCTTCATCAGATAGTGCTCTATCCTCCAAGTTTCGATAGGATCATAATGGTAGGGCATTAGGCTATAAGTTTCAGGGGGTGTTACAGGTACCAGAACCTACCCAACTTGTTCAAAGTGTGATAAGAACCATCTGGGAGTGTATGTTGCAGGCAAGTAAGGATGTTTTGGTTGTGGTCACACTGGCCACAAGTTGAGAGATTGCCCTTCTTCTAAAAAGGGACAAGGGCTAACATTAATAGGGCACCGTCTACAATTACAGCAGCACCAACAGGTCGTCCAGCTCAACAGGGTACTTCATCTAGTACAGGTGGTGGTCAATGCTAGAACAGGCTGCATGCTCTTCAGGCTCGCCAAGACCAGAAATATTCTCCTGATGTGGTCACTGGTACGTTACAAGTCTTTTATTTAGATGTTTATGCTTTGTTAGATCCAGGGGCTACTCTTTCCTTTGTAACTCCATATATAGCAGTGAACTTTGGTGTTAGTCTAGAAAATCTCTCAGAACCCTTCTCAGTCTCTACTCCAATTGGTGACCCAGTTATAGCTAGACGGGTATACAGAAATTGCCCTGTCACAGTATCTCAGAAAGTCACCTCAGCAGATCTTGTAGAGTTTGAAATGGTAGACTTTTATACCATTCTAGGCATGGATTAGTTACATTCCTATTATGCCTCTGTCGATTGTAGAACTAGGATCGTTCGTTTCTAGTTTACAGATGAGCCAATCTTAGAATGGAAGGGTAGTAGCTCAGTGCCTATGGGTCGATTTATCTCTTAGCTTAAGGCTAGAAAAATGATCTCCAAAGGGTATCTCTATCACCTAGTTCGGGTTAAGGATTCCAGCTCCAAAACCCCAAACCATGAGTCAATTCCAGTTGTAAATGAGTTTCCAGAAGTGTTTCCAGATTTTCTCCCGAAAGGGGAAATTAACTTTCGAATTGATCTCCTTCCAGATACCCAGCCTATTTCGATTCTTCCTTACAGAATGGCTCCAGCTGAGCTTAAGGAATTGAAAGAGTTGTGGAAAGACCTTCTAGATAAGGGTTTCATCAGACCCAGTATTTCCCCATGGGGTGCACCAATGTTGTTTGTGAAAAAGAAAGATAGTTCTCTCAAGATGTGAATTGACTATCGGTAATGGAGACCCATTCAAGATGTATCATTACATTGAAGAAACGTTTCACATATGTCATCATCATTCATAAGTGTAGAATTGAGAATAACCTTTCAATAATAACACAATTGCATTGTAGACATGATCATATTACTTTCATTGAAATCACCAAGCACATACATAGAATCATGATTATACATCAATTCTTCATAATTTGCCCTTCAAGGCCATGAATCACAATTCTCCAACACACCAAGAATACTACCATTTGGGCATGAATAATGACATAATTTAATAAACTAAATCAATATAGACGTAATCTCTTCACATGCTTCCATAATCAATCAATCCCAAATCACAAAATCACAATTTAGTATTTTGGCGGAATCATGGTTTCATGGGGGAAATTCATCATAAATAATCATTCATTCATCAATTCAATCATTATTCATCATATATAAACCTTTGTAAACGTTTTGAAATTGAACCCATGACTTAGATAGAAACCCTAACTTTTGGTGGAATCTACCCAAAGATGAAAACTACCATACCTTGATTGAAGAAACTCCACTAAATCGAGTGAGAATGATGAACTCTTTAACTCCAAACCTTGACTTCTTCTTCTCCAATGGAGGTTTCTAGAGAGGGAATTATTTGGAGAGGAGGTAATTTCAAAAAAAATTTAGTTTTGGGAATAATGGGTTGTAAAAGGGTGTCTAACATTTTAAAAAGCCTTAAATAACTCTAATAAAATAGTATAAACCATTCCCCTTCATTAACTAATTAATTTGGAATTTACTAAATTGTCGCTCTTATGGCCAATATTGGGTAGAACCTATAGGAGTGAGTTACGCCCCTTGACCTACGGACTGTAGGTGCATTGACGCCCTATCCTGCAAGTCTGTAGGTAAATTCAGGAACTTGACAACTAGGGCTCTTGACCTACAGACCACCCCCACGAGGGGTGGATATACCTACCCAGTAGGTCCCATTCGTAGGTCCTCATTTTTTTGACAGCTTTTGTTCTTTGGGGCAGCCTTGGGGTTAGGCTTTAGGGTCCTCCTCAAAGGACCCTTGGTTGGTCCTTGGGGAGTCGTACCTTGACGTTTAACCCCTAAACCCCTTAACCTAAGCTTGGGAACTCATTTTACAACATAAAACCCCACAAACTCGTAAGGCTCTAGTTTCACCTACTAGTTTTCCTAGTCGTTACTTTATCTCCCCCTTGGGAACATTCTTCCTCGAATGACACCTTAAACACTAAACAAAATTACAGACTCAAGACTAGCAACCCATCATGCATGAAACATCATAAAAAATGTACAAAACTAGGAGGAAACATCAACTCCATCTCAAACATACTCAACGCAACACAAGGAAGTAGGAACTACATCTACAAACTCATTATGCATGAAAACTTCAACATTTCTCATATCATTGGAGGAATTAGCTTCTCCAAATTAAAGCTTGCTCATCATAACATCATTAAGCAAATTATGAAATTACTCTTAAAAGCACATTTAGGCATGTTCAACAATTCACCTCATAAAGCGTATAGGCAACTCATACTAAATGCACATCAACATGAGGAACATAAATCATAAAAACTCATTTTCTCAGTTAAACATAAATTCATCAAGAACATTCATAACATAAGGAGACCATGGAACACATAATCACACATGATTCCAAAACATGAAATAATCCATAAGGAACTCTTGGTCTCAAGCTTAAGTAGGAATAGAAGGAAAGAGATAAGGATATCGGAACTCTCAACAACCTTACTATAGAAAACATACTATCTCCCCCTTGGGAGTAAACCCATACTAAGGCTAGCATAAAAATAACATAAGGACGTCAATAAAACATTCACAACTATAAGGAACTATCAACATATTGGTGCCTTCATTCGGAAGGGCTCCTTTGTCCTCCCTAGACCGGAGTGCATATAAACGACCATACATTGGAGCATTAGGATACAAAATATTAGGAGAAGCTTGTTTGGCATCTCTTCCTTTTTCCGAAAGTGTAGGGCAATCTTTCACTTTATGATCATTCTTTCTACAACCATAGCACCCATTTGTACCGGCTAGGAACTTCCCAAGATGCCTCTTTCCACAATTGGTGCAAGTAGGTTTAGGAAATGGAGACCCACTACCTCTCTCTTGGTTAACCCTAGGAGTTCTTGAAGAATCTTGGTTAGAAGCCCTCTTTTTGAATCTTGGTTGACCTTGCTTATCGGACTTAACTCTCTTCATCTCCTTATTCTTTCTTTTAAGTTTGGACTCCTCAATTTGTTTAGCAAACACCATAAGCCTAGAGATATTCATGTCATAATGGAGCATTGCCGTATGACATTCTTCCTCAACTAGGTCGGACACACCCGTCACATATCTAGTCATCTCATCCCTCGGGTTAGACACCAAAGATGGAGCATACTTAGACAAGGGTAAATTTCAAAGAATACTCTTGAACATTCATGCTACCTTGCCTAAGATTGATAAAATACTCCACCTTAGCTTCCTTCTTCTCACGGGGAAAGAACCTATCAAGGAATGCTTTATTAAACACCGACCCGCTCCTACCGGCCTATTGCTCTTCCATTGAGTAAACCAAACTTGGGTAACATTCTTTAATTAATAAGCGGCTAGTGCCGCTTTTTCTATAGAAATCACCCCCATAGCATTAACTACCTTATAAACCTCATCCACAAACTCTTGGAGATATTCTCCCACCTTGGAACCAAGAAACACCGGAGGACTCATCCTCACAAAATCCCTCAACCTAGAAGCCATAGTGCTCACATTAGGGTTCACATGAGTGTCAGCAACCCTATTAACTTGGACTGTCATGGTTTGGGCTTGAGTAGTTACGACTTGAGCCATCATTAGAAGCGCCGACCTAACTTCTTCATTAGACATGGCCATAGGATCAACCGAAACTTTATTGCCTTGAGGAACTTGATTACCTTAAGGACCTTGGGGAGGAACTCCCTCATTCACATTCTCCTCTTCCATCTTTCTTGTGGTCGCCCTTCTTGTATTCATCTCCTATAAACACAAGAGAAGGGTTACGAAAAGGACTTTTATAGAGCTAAACTTTATGGCACGAATCAAAGAGTAATTAAAGAAGTGTAGCTTCCTAACATCTTATAGCCTCGCATTCATAAATATGGCGTGCTTCACACTCATGAACAAAACTCTACAAGACATGGCTTAGGAGACATCAATCCTAAAAATCTTCCCCAACATCTTGTGCTCTGATACCATGTTAGTCATGACACAAGCCTACACCCCAGACGTGACATGATGTACAAGACTATGAAGATCCTCATAACAGCCTCATAACATTCATACCATAAGACATAAGAAATAGTGCAGAATTTAAAACTCTTTTAATCCATAAAATCGAAAAACTTTATTTAAAATAGCGGAAGTCTACTTGTCTCACATGGCCATCTAATACATCATGAATCAAAAGTAGGGTCACAACCCTTACAATAAAAAGTCTAAAAAGTTTGTAGTACAATGAAAGACATGAAATGACAATAAAACACTTGTCATCGAATCCATGAGGACATACCACAAGCTTGACGAATAGTCAACCCAAGCATGAACTAGAAGAAATCAACTCATACGCCGGAACCTACACTTTGAAAAGATGTAAAAATATGGGTTAGCATACAAAAATGTACTAAGTATGATAGCCATGCAAAAACCATGCTTAAAAGGTCATTTTTGTTGAAAACCATGTTATATGCCAATTTAGAGAAACATGATGAAGTTTAGTATAAAAGGCATAAGGTACAAACATAATCAACATATATGTCATTACATCACATTAGAACCATCATCTTAAGTAACCCTAAGCTATACTTGTGCAATGAAAGAATGACATCCCATACTACCATTCATACTAAGTACCTCATTGAGGCCACCATACATGTACTTACCATTCTTCATACTCATCTTTAGTCAATACTCATGCATAAGGAATACATACATTTCATAAGTCATGACAAGGAAAGTAACTCAAAATAACAATCCAAGTAATGCATGCATCATTACATTAAGCCATTAAGTCAACATTCTCATTAGCTTCATTAGGAGCACATTCATTTCATTAGACATTAGGACATTAGAGAAACATACCATAGCCCTCTCAAAGTCTACTCGTGCAACACATGGATGGCATCCCATACTACCACCCACACTTCATAGAACCTCTTTAGTAACCATAGCACATAACTTATATGATGGGAATAAGCTTTAACTGACATAGTCCATGTGAGCTTAACATGGAATCTGGTGTCTATCCCACACCATAAAGGGTTGGTCTACTTGTCTAAGGTAGGACCGGTAACATTTTAGCTTATGTGGATCCACTAGCTAATAACCTATGTGGGCACATAGTTATGGGATAAGAAAGATGTTCATTAAAACCCGACCTACACATGGGGAGAGCTACCATCTTACCATATCCACTCGGTGCTAAGCTTACATTCCCATAGAGTAGTTCATTACTTTAACATTATTACACATGAGAGGGTGCCATTGGCCTGCCGACCCAAGGTACATTGATTCACACATGAAAGGGTTCCATAAGCCTACCTATTCAAGGTACATTAGTTAACAGATGAAAGGGTGCAATAAGCCTACCGATTCAAGGTACATTATTAGGATAGCTCATTGAATCCTCATGAAAAGGTTCCATAGGCCTACTGATTCAAGGTTCATCATTGTTATTTATGGTAGGGTGCCATTAGCTTACCGATCCAAGGTTCATTATTATCATGCATGGAAGGGTGCCTTTTGCCTACCGATCGAAGATACATCATTAGAATAGTTCATAGCCTCATTATGCAAAGGCTACCACCATTAGGTCTACCGATTCAATGTTCATTAACTCAAGATATTTTAGTTACACAAGAAGAGGATGCCTTAAGCCTACCAATTCAACATGTAACAATCAAGATCACTTTGATTTACACAAGAAGAGGATGCCCTAAGCATACCAACTCAAGATGTATCATTACATTAAAGAAACCTTTCACATATATCATCATCATTCATAAATGTATAATTAAGAATAACCTTTAAATAATAACACAATTCCATTGTAGACATGATCACATTACTTTTATTGAAATCACCAAGCACATACATAGCATCTTGATTACATCAATTCGTAATACTCTACCCTTCAAGGCCATGAATCACAATTCGCCAACATACCTAGATTACTATAATTTAGGCATGAATAATTACATAATTAAATAAACTATATCAATATAAACTTAATCTCTTCACATGCTTCCATAATCAATCAATCCCAAATCACAAATTCACAATTTAGTATTTTGGGGGATTCATGGGTTCATGGGGAAATTCATCATAAATCATCATTCATTGATTAATCAATTCAATCATAATTCGTGATATATAAACCTTTGAAAACCTTTTGAAATTGAACCCATGACTTAGATTGAAACCCTAACTTTTGGGGGAATTTGGAAGCTTTGAAATCAAGTTTTGAAGGGGATCTTTGGGTGGAATCAACCCAAAGATGAAAACTACCATACCTTGATTGAAGAAACTCCACAAAATTGAGTGAGAAAGATGAACTCTTGAAATCCAAACCTTCACTTCTTCTTCTCCAATGGAGGTTTCTAGAGAGAGAATTATTTGGAGAAGAGGTAGTTTCTATTTTTTTTAGTTTTGGGGATAATGAGTTGTAAAAGGGTTTTAATAGTTTAAAAAGCCTTAAATAACTCTAATAAAACAATATAAACCGTCCCCCTACATTAACTAATTAATTTGGAATTTACTAAATTGTCCCCCTTGTGGCAAAAATTGGGCAGAACCTACAGGGGTGACCTACGCCCCTTGACCTACGACCGTTGGTGCATTGACGCTCTGTCCTGTAGGCCTGTACGTGGGCACGTGAACTTGAAAACTATGGGTCATGACCAACGGACCACCCCTACGAGGCGTGGATGGACCTACGCACAGTAGGTCCCATCCGTAGGTCCTCATTTTTTTGACAGCTTTTGTTCTTTGGGGCAGCCTTGGGGTTAGGCTTTAGGGTCCTCCTGAAGGACCCTTGGTTGGTCTTTGGGGAGTCGTACCTTGATGTTTAACCCCTAAATCCCTCAACCTATGCTTGGGAACTCATTTTACTACATAAAACCCCACATCAAACTCAATAACAAACTCGTAAGGCTCTAGTTTCACCTACTAGATTTCCGAGTCGTTGAAGCTACCAAATCAATTAGCCATCAACTGGGTAAGAGTAATTAAGCCTTTACAATGCTCCAATTTGCAAAAAATTGAAAGAACTTGCAAAATCTCCAAATTTAGTCCCGAAACCTTAAAGTCTACTAAGAAACGTAAGAGAAAACTGTTCTAGACTGAAATGATTCTCCAAATCGATAATAAATTCACTGTCTAAAACTAATTTATAGTCGCCAAAAATAAGCCACAAAGGGCAGATTAGCTAGGTAAGTCAGGCTCGCCGAACCACTCGGCGATCCGCCAATTGATCTCATCCATCGCCTTTTTGCTTTGGCACTCAACATCCTCAAGTGCTGTAACTTTGGGCGATCTCTCTTTGCATCGCAGAACTGCTAGGCGCTTCGCCGACTGCTCCTTTTTGTTGCCGACTTGGTTTCTTGCTTTAGGGCTTGGCACACAGAAACTTTAGGAGGTGAGATTAGCCACTCAGCGACACGCCAAGTGCCCTTCGTGATCTCCAGGCTCACCCTTCTTCATTTCTTCATCTTGTTTTGTTCCTTTTTGCATGTTAGTGTCCTTGCTTGGCTCCTCAATCCATATACCTGAAAATCAAGGCATTAACATCACTTTATAACATAAATTGGGCATTTGAGGACACAAAATCTATACAAAAACAAAGCCCTAAATGAGTCCAAATCTCGGACTCATCAACACCCCTAACTTAAACTTTTGCTTGCCCTCAAGTAAAACTCAAGATCAACAGTTCAAAAAGGATGTCTTAGATAGTGCTACATAAAATTCAATCATTAATTTACACAACAAAGTTCAAACTACTCTTGCAAAGATTAGTTGTGCACTCAAAGATTTAAATTGTGATTGACTATTACCAAATATGCTCAAGGTCACAATACTTCCTTCAAATGCAAGTTCAAGCTCAACAAAGGTACTCAAATGCCCTCACAACAAAGATGAGTCCATATTCACACACAATTTCTTTACAATTTTAAAGTTCCAAAATCACATACAACTCTCACACTCACAAAGATGAACACATGCATGACTTCACCCATAGGTTTGCCCTTATTTTCCAATCAACATTCATTTTAGCTCACTCAAGATTACAAAGGTCTTTTCAGGGCTTCTAACAGGGCTGAATGTTAAGGTATAGTCATTTAGGCTTAGTGGCTACTACCTTCATGAAGTATGGTTTGAACATCACTTTCCTCCTTTTATTTAACGTTTCAAACATGCTCATAATCCACCCCATTATTCAACTTCATATGAATTATCGGATATACCCCATTTCTTTTGCAATTTTCATCACTTTATTTCACAACTTTTTTTTTCTTTGCTTCTTCTCTCTTTTTTTTTTCTTTTTTTTTATATATGGAGGGGTTCCATATTTTTCAAAAACGTTACTCAAAGGGGGATTCTCACACTTCTTGACTTTCCTTCTCTCTTTTACCACACCCCCAACTAAGGCTTTTGGCCTAAGTTGGCTATTCAAACAAACCATACTTCATGAAAGTTATGGGTGAATGGAATAAAGAGAGGTCACAATTGTTCAAGTTTCTTCCAAGAAAAATGGTAAGGCTCAAAATGTGCCAAGTAAGTTCACAAGGTTGGCCACAAAAGAGGTATATTGTCAAATTGGTTCACTCTTCAAAATTGTTGCCTAAGATCATTGC